AATCGCCTTTTTAATTCCTTTTGACATTTCCTAAGACTATTTTTACTTTCTTGAGTAGTATCTATGTTACCTTGAAAGATACTTCTTTTAAACTATAAGAGCCACTTGTTGCACTGTTTCACTTTGCTGCAATTCCCAGTTCTAAAGGTTGCTGTCAGAGTTCTACTTTCTGGTACTCAGACAATGAATTTTATTATACTGCAGTCAGTACAAGTGGCTCAATTATTGCTAGCTTTTGAGTTAGTTCTTGCACATTACTCAACACTAAGTCAAGAATATCTTTCTGTGTACTCTAGTACTGGCTGTTCCAAGAGGCAGAAATTACTTCTTTGAACTTACTCGTATTGTGCTATCTGACCAGTTTATTCACAGGTAATTTAAGTCCCCATTATCATTTGGTTAGACTTTCCCACTTCTTTGATCTCTGTCAACATTATGCACTCAACATCCTTTTGTTGATCCAGGAGCTGGTAGTATATAAAACTACTAATATATTTACTTTCTTACGGGTTGGGAGTGTAACCCTCTACAAGCATTTAAGTAGGTGATTATAATTCCCCAGCAGCGCTATGCATTGCAACACTGGAAACACTCAATTTCTGGGATGATCATGTTGAATTCACCATGCCAGTATGTAACTTCAAGGTAACTGCAATTGTTAATCGTCACTGCTGTTCAAAATGCACCATGCTTCTTTTCTGACTTCATCTATAAATGATAATCAGCTTTTTGATCGTGTATAACACCTAAAAAGCTTATGATTTAAGATCTTCTAATTCGCACTTGTTCTACCCTAACTAGAAGACTGACTTTAAAAACATTGTTTTTTAATAATTTATTTCTTTGGAGGGAGAGGAAAATAGGATAATCCTTGTTCTCAGCACTTAGGGAGTTTGTCCTGTGCTGTCAAGATTTTTTCTGCAGTCATAAACTAAAACAATGTGCTCAGTGGGTAAATGAAAGTTGACTTTCTCATGCAATCACCTAATTATGTAACTGCTAAGACTATACGGAAATGAAACAAAGTATTGTGAGACTTGTGATAAAGTAAGACTTCTACTACCTCATTTTTTTTTCCTGCATGTAGGCATGTAAAATGATTGACCATCGGTTTGCCTTCTCTGTACTAAAGACAGTAGTTAGAGTTTAGGTATCTCTTTTCAAACGTTATTGTTTGGGACTTTTTCAAACTTTTAATATTATTTCCAAAAATACTAGCACCAGAACTAAAGAGAAAACTCCATTAATGATCCTAGCCACACCATACCTACTAGCAGTACCATCCTTTCTCCTGTATACAAGACTGAGGTTATATATACTCAAATTTAAAAAAAAAAAAAAGATGCTAATGCTGTTTTATTTATGTATGCTTGTATACCCACTTTTCTATAAAGCCTTTAATTAAGCGATGTGCTATTTCTCAAATAAAGTTTTTTTCTTCCACAGTATTCGATTTGTATGTGAACTCTGTTGTGACTCGAATTGGACTCCAAATCTTATATCTCCTTTTGTCAAGTTTCTAAAAATCTCTCTCCTTTTCTTTCCATGCATTTCCTTATTTTCCTATATATCTTCAGATTAACATCATGAACTCTCTCCAGTACCAAATAGAAACTGAGGCATTAGGTAAGAAGGAAAACAAGATTTATTCATCAGAAATAAACTAACAGAACAGCAAAATATCAAAAACAGAGGTTGTAGAAATTGCATTAGCAATCATATTGAAGGGAGCTGATCTGGCGAACAGCTACAGGAGTTGTGATTTGGAGGGCATGCTGAATCATTAGCTGCTGCTGGATTTCCATTTACCAGTAAGATCCAAATACATTCTTTACAGCCTACTTGTCTGAAAGGCTTGGTTCTTCCATTTTTAATACAGGGACTTTTTCTGACTTCCCCAGGAATTTTTTTCAGAAGTGCAGACTATTGCATGCAGTGAGCTCAACAAAGGTCTAAACCTCCAGCCATCTGGAAACTGCCAGCTAGTACACATGCTACTTCTCGCTTGTTAAGCAATAGTTAATGCTTAGAGCATGTAATATCTGAGCAAGCTTGTGCTCTGAACAGGCTTGAAGACGATTTCTGTAAGAAGTCTAAGGTGTTGGTTTTTTGACCTATAAAGTCTGAAGTGGCGCTGCCTACTTGAGAAATTCCTCTCCCTTTGCATCATCCGGCAGCAGCCCTGAGCCTCTGCAGCGCCAGAGGCAGTGCTGTTGGGTCCCTGCAGTGTTCCGACAGGCAAAAGGCAAAAATGAAAACCCAGACATTTCCCAGAGAACTGGCGATGAGGCAAAGGGGGGCGAGTGGGAATTTGGCATTTGGGGTACTTGGGAGGTAAGAAAGATAGTTTTAAAGTCACTAAAGGATGCAGCACTATGGTCAAGGTTAGTTTCTGTAGATGATCCTGGAGAACAAGTCAAGAGGAAGAGAGAAGAAGGAAATATTATGGTATACATGTAAGTATGGTTGGTGAGACTCAATCACTGATATGCTAGATGTTCTATATAATTAGGAATGTATTTCCAAAATTATACTTACCAAAACAACATAAGAAACCTAGAAGTTAACTAGAACTTTACTTGAACATAGACCTAATCCTGTAGCACTTACCCTTAAGCAACATCATTATCCTGCTGACCTAAGAGAGCATTATCTTGAAAGCAGGACTGGACCACGCATTCACCTTTCCCAAGCTAAACTCTTCAGTTTCTGTTCTCATGTGATGCGTATGAAGACTGGCTGCATCTTACTGACTCCGACACAGCCAGGAAGGCCAATCCAAAACCAACGTAAAACTAGACTTCTTAGTTCATTAATTGCAAAGATGCCTAAATTACATATAAAGAAGCAATTATGAAGGTAGGTGTGAACAGGCTGAAGTTTATTTACCTAAAGAGTTCCAATGACATCAAAGTTAAGCACATGGCCTGTAACGTTTTTGCAAGACTGGGATGTTGGCAACTACATGTAAAATGAGATTTTCCAATAGAGCATAATTCAGATGTATTTAACACCTGACTGTTTAAATGCAAACTAAAAATAGTTCTTCCTACTAATTTCTTACTCGTTTTCTACCTTAGCAGTTATGGCTCCATTTCCCATTTGGTCTCAAGTTTTGACTTTCCAAAGTCAAGAACCCACTGAAGGCTCAGGACCCAAATACTGACATGACATTTAATATCACAAGTTTCATTATGCAGTGGCATAATTAGAAACTATGCTGTAGGATACACAGGATGCTGGATGAGGTGGACTCGAGCTTTCCTCGAGCTTTCCTGTGCCTAGCACCATGCAAACATCCTGCTGCAGCAGGTAGTTTGACCCCCCCCCTAGTCCCAACATCACGCACTAATCCTGAAACCAGATCCGGATGTGCAAACCCTTCAAAACAGCACCGGAATTCAGAGAGATACAGAATAGGAACAATCACCTGTGCAAATCTAGCTGCAGGACCACGGCCTAAAATTATATACAATGCAGGTCCGTGTCTGTTTACACAAACCGAGAAGATTAGATTAGTGTTTCTGTAACCCTCTCCATTTTGAGGATGATTTTTAAAGAATGAAGTTTTGTAAACCCTACACTATTCATGGCTTAGTATTCAAAATGCCTTATTTGTTTGCACTGCAGGGTGGGCTTCAATGACTGCACATGACACAAAAAATCATGGTTTGAATCACTGCATTCAGTTAAAAACATTCAAACATCATACAGAAGAGGTTATCACCTTTTCATTTCAAAAAGGTCCATACTCTATACTTTGTGCTCAGTTGCAACACCACTGTAGTTTTTGTAAGAAATAAATATTGACTTTCCTGGACATTGCCTCACGACAGAACAGGACCTTGAGTACATTTGACTAAGATATTTTTTACCCTGGTAATATAACTTTATAACATAGCTTTCATTCCAGTTATCCGATTAGTTTAAAAGGCTTTGCAAACAGGATCTATAAACGTCACAAATTATCTATTTTAATTTTCAGCCATGTGACTCTATTTTAAAGCTGGCTCAACCGCATTTCTTTTCTTTTAAGACTACAAAAAACTTTTGATTTTAACTTAAATTTACAGGTTACAGCCTTAATTAAGATTCAGGTTGCAACATACCACATTTGCAAAGTCAAGCCTGAAAATAGCCATGCAAAAATTAGGTTCAATATTAACATAGGTGATTTTGTCGTTCTTGGTTTTCAAGAATAAAGCACCTGATGAGCAAATTGCCAACAGAAAAGAGAATACACAAAGTCTCAGAAACTGATCTCAAAGCACATTGTAAACAGGAGATCAGCCTGTTCACTGAACAGCACAGCCCTCTAGCATCTGTGTCTCACAGTGAGATGTTCAGATGCTCTCCTTTCTTAGAAGAGGTCAGAAGTCAACATGAATTTCACTTACTAACATACATGGTGGTGGCACTGTACAGGAATCACTGGATGGGTAAAATGCAGCTTCCAGTTACAGGTGGTACTACAGGCAAGACTACAGCTGGAAGGGTCAGTAATTCTGGGGGACAACACCTGTACGTGTGTTTTAGCTGTAACAGAACCCTAGCTATTAGCAGAAGTGTGCACAGATTTCAGAAAGAAAAATAATCATGTTTTCTGTTAGATGTTTAGTGTCCCAGCATGTGACTCAACACAGTCAGCTTTATACCATCTATTAAGATATGCAATAATCTTCCTGGGATCGATTGACCATATCCAAAATTAACATTAATACTAGCACAACTACAGATGGTAGCAGAATGAAGAGGCAACCACTTAGCACTTCTGCCTCAAAACACTGTGCAGGGTTGAAGAGCAGCAGCACAAAGAAACAAAACAGGTGGACAGCTCACATGAAAAATACCTTGTTGCTCAGGTTATAAACGTGTAGTCGGGAAATACAGCCAAATGCTTCATGCTGGAAGTTGGAGCAGCAAGGAGAAAAAAGGGGGCAAAGATACAAAGAGTGGGATCGTGAGATTGGCAGGGCTGGATAAAACAGAGCTGCTCTTACCTGAAGCAGTTTTCCTTCAGCTGGAGTAACCTCAGCGACGTTTGCGAACTCTCCCTCCAGTATGATCGGCTCCACTTTCAGGGGGATCACCCTAATGATCGCCTTCTGTGCCGCTGACCTCTCAGACTCGACTGCCGCTGCCAGCGCCAGCCCTGTATGGCCAAGTCCTACCTGCAGGGTAGCCATGAGCAGCCAAGGCCAGAGGACAGCCAGCTGCAGCTGGGGGCCACCACTCATGCTACCAGCTGCAGCAGCTCGCTCCGGCCACACATACCGCTCCGAACGCGTCCTCGCCCTGCCAGCAGCTTCCAACAGCGGGTGCAGGGCGTGCAGTGCTGGCTCCTGGGGCACGAGAAAATGGGGAGAGAGGGGCTCAGGTACCGGCCACTGCTAGCACTGCTCACTGTGTGGCCCTCCTGCTTCTCGCCATCATCGCTTCCCTTCCTTGGTGCCACGTGCTCAGAGGCTGCTCGGAGCTGAAAAGCATACTTTAAACCAGGAAAAAAAAAAAACAAAAAAAAAACAAAAAACAACCACTGAAGTTATGAGTCCCTCCTCTAGAAGACAGATCCAGAAAGATCAGTGAAAGAGAATGAGCAGGTCGCAAGGACAGGTTCAGTTCAGACACAGAGGAATCTCCCGCAGCATTAAGAACTCGTCAGGTCTGCAGAGAGGAGGCACACACAGGGAGGTTCCTCCATGGACGCAACGTCCTGGTGTCTCCTTCCCAAGACTAAGGAAGATTGCCAGGTTCAAAACATCCATCTCACATATGCTTGATAGACACATCTTCTTGCCAGCAAGGCATCTCTTCCACAATATATGCTCATGCTCTTAAAGTTGGATGTTGTCTACAGTTACTGGTATCCTTCTTAAAAATTATGCAGGAGGTATTTCTTGCATATTTGGTAAAAACAAAAGTTTGTTACTATATTGTTCCCTTCCAAATCAAATCAATCCCTTCCATCCTTCCTGTGCCAGAAATGCTTCATTCAGGCTTACATATCAGTTCTAGTTTTCTCCTAACAATCCAGGCTTGGTCTGACTTTCGGTGCAATTCCCAAGGATAATTATTGAAGTACGAAGCTTCTCTTCATAGTTTCAAGTTCCCAGGAGATTTTAAGAAGGCCCCAAAACATGCTAAAAGTTTAGACACGAAGCAAAGCAGGTATCAAGCAAAAAGTTACCGCATATCTTGTTTCCTTCACACTATGGGTTCTGGTATGATCACTTCCAAGAAGATCCCAACTAAAGGCCCCACAAATTAAAAAACAAAACAACAACATAAAATTCCATGGTCTTTCCCAAAGTCACATGAAACGTGTCGAGGAGTCTTCATAACTAGGAGAGTTTACACAGGGGTTGTGTGCAACTAAAAAGTTAGGGTGATCACTCCGCTGTGAAGAGAAGAAGTGATTAAAAAAAAAAAAATCTGCAAACCTGTTAGGCAGCACGCCTGCTGCAACCCGCAGGGGCTGGGACAGATGGAAATGCTTCTACAAATCCCAGAAAAAGTTACTTCCAGTAGCTTAAGGAAACCATGTGCGTCTGACGACGTTTGGTTCGGGTCTTCTTGCTCCTTTTTAGAAACGCAATCTGTCCTTAAAAGTAAGGAACGTTCGAAAAAGAAGTCACGGAAGACAAGCCGCCTCACGCACATGCAGCAGGCAGGTAGGTGCGAGTGGCGCTCCACAGCCCGACGGAGAATCCAGCGAGATCAAAGGGAGAAAATTACCGCAGACAGAAAGCTCCCGGGGCAGGCATGGCTGCAAGTGAAGTGTCCGCATGCAACCCGCAGCCTCGGGAAAGAAGCCGGCCCCCTGTCGGGAGCACTCCCGCGGAGTACCCGGGGCTCCCTCGCCGCGCAGCCCGTGCGGGCACCGGCTCTATGCGCGGCGCAGGGCGGCAGCCGAGGCACGGGCAGCGCGGCCGCGGCGGGCCCCGCGGGGCTGCTCGACCATGGCCGGGGGCGGCCGGATCCCGCGGCGGGCGCGGAGCCGCCTTCCTGCCGCAGCAGCGCCCGTGGGCGAGCGCCGGGCGCGGGAGGGCTGCGAGGCGGCCGCGGCTCCCGGCTCGCGGCTCCTACCTGCTGGCACAAAGTGAGGGTGGAGCAGCGCCGAGCGCCCGCCCCGGCCCCGGCCCCGCTCCCGGGCGCCCCCTCCCGCCCCGCCGGCCCGGCCCCGCCGGGCTCCCCGCGTTTCCCCCGGCCTTCCCCACGCTGCCGCCCATCGAGAGGCAGCAGTAGCCCTTTTCTGGCTGCTGCTTGCTGCGAGGCTTCAGGTCAGGCTGATGTCAGAGGTCTGGAATTCAACTGTTATTCTCCTCTGACATCACCGAGAGGTGAATAATGCTGCAGGTCAGACCTATAACCTCAAAGTAAGGTTGCAACTGGAAATTTGTGAACAGGCGCACGATGGAGTGGTGCTCAAGGAGGGCACTCAGAAACAAACGTGAAAACAATGCCCTGCCTGCAGAAGGCGTATGATCCAGGCAGGAGTTCGGAGAGTCACTTGTCGTTGTTCCCGGTGCTCAGGAAAAAGCACCTTCAAGAAAGTAGAGATTAATGAACATTTTTGTTGTTGTTACGTGTACAGCTAAACTAATCCCTGGAGTAACTCCTTGAAAGTAGAAGGTTACACAAAGAAGAATTGCTCCACTTTTAAAAATAAGAGCGTGGTTGCAGGGGTAATGGTTGTATGGTGAAAAAAGCGGCAGGAGGAACTGCTGAAACATGAAGGACTTTTTCCAACGATGATAATACATCATTTGTAAATCAAAAGAAAGAAAATATAGGTGCAATATTTCAGTTTGAAAGTTTAATTTATTGCAGATTGGTGCAACCATGCTGTCTGAGCAGGATGATAAAAGAACATCCACAAGGTAAACAAAATTGCATTGAGTTCCCATTAACAAGAATATAGTTAAAAACAAGGTCTTACTACAGATGTTACTTTTTATTATTTACTGACTGAACTAGATCCACATTAAGGTGCTGAAGCGCTAGACCTTCAGTCTAGAGGGCCACCTGAGACTCCTGAGGCCTTGTGCAGCAATATACTAATTTCCTAAGCTAGCGAGTGCCCTTTCTCCTGGGCTCTCTCCCTACGTCAGGGTGAGCTGATTAAGAATGAAGAGAGCTTACATCCATGTGTGTTCTGAAAGCGATGTACATCAGGAGAGCCAGCTCCAAAGCCTTTCTGAATCAGCATATTAAAAAATTGTAATATGAAAGTTTTCGTAATTTGCCTTTAAAACAACAGAGCATTATCTAAGGCCCTGAGATTCCCCTATCTTAAATCTCCAAAAGTGTCAAATCTTTTGGTTGGCAAGCAGGAATAAGAAAGGTAAACTGTTCCCTTTGTAGTGTATGTGAATTAAAGAGGTAGCAGCTCCAGTTTGATAAGCCAAAATCCTTTTAAGTGCATCTCCTTACCCCTTGGTCTGTGAGGGCTAGTCTGCTGCTGTCAAACCCCATTACTATTGATGGCACCAGCTCCTACAGGACACAGACCATCCACAATTTCCACAGCATATTATGCAACAGTCTCGAGCCATGTCAGCTATAGGGCATGAAAGCAAATTTAGGTGATGAGCTCCAGCAATGTTATTGAAAAACTTTTCCTTTTAACTACCCAAATACTCTCATTCATATACAAATGGTTTCCATATACTTTCATTTAAGAAGTAGGACTTGAACATAACCACCTAACCCTTCACTATTCATGTCAACTGAAATTGTACTGCACATATATCCTGTAACATACGATACAGGATAACAAATCTGAGGACAACCAGGATGGTAACACTCCCACTAGCCTTGACCTAAAAGCATCCTCAGATTGCATTTGTCTAGTTTGGACTGCTGGTGAATAATCCAAGGCTTTGCCCCGGTTCATTCTACCACTCGATGTTCACTTAGGACATCCTACCACAGCTAGAAGCTACATAAAGTGCTGGAGGGTATAGCTGAGACAGTCCTGATAAATTTTTTCTTTCTTGTGTGAAAGGACTGGCTCTAATTAATTTTAAAAGAAGCATGAACACAGATGACACAATTAAATCTATGTTTTAGGTGCTCTTTCACATGTATTTCCCTAACATAAATATAGACTGTGCCCACTTTATCCCTTAAACAGTATATTAACACAAATGCTATTAAAAACTTTAAATCTACTATCAATATAAATAGAATCAGATTTAATATGTTACAATGTATTTAAGACCTACTTAAAATAAAGTACTAAAACAACAGATAACTTACCATTACATATATTATGAGAATCAAAGAGAAATTATTAAAACAGGACAATTCTCCATAAATGTAAAGGATCAGCAGCTGTCATGTGTAACAGATACCCACCAGAAGGAACACACTTGTTGCTGAAACAGAGCGTTGGTTTAGGAAAGAAGAGCATTTCCTGGTTAATCACTCAGAAAATTAGCTCATCTTTCCCATAGCTGCTCTCCTGAAATCCCTGACCCATTCAGACCTAGAATCTTGTGACTTTCCTGTGCTTTTGTTTCATACACAATTCCCATTAAAGAGCCACAGTATGACTTCAAGCAAAGACGGTGAGAGCACCAAACAGCATATGTGCCGAGTACACTGTAGCTTCCAACAATGTTAAATAAAAAGATTCCAAATACAGCACTAAAAACAACTTGCTTCCCAGTAAGAAAGTTTTGGAAAAAGCTTTTAAGGCTGTTCCTGTTTACAGGAAATCCAGATTTTCCATATCTAAAAAAAATGAGCAGCTAAGTATTTACTTCATATTAAATATTCTGACCACTAGACACTTTATAACTTGTCGGGTAGAAAATGTAATGGAAGAGGTGTAAAAAAGCATGGAGTGACTAACACCTCACAAAGTTAGAATGAAATTAAAAAAAAAAAGTCTTTTTTTTTTTTTTTTTTTTTAAATAAACAGTTGAAATGATCCAAAGTGCCTGTTGTGTGCAAGACATTGCCTCTGGAGTCTGACAAGAGAACCCAGCTGGCAGCTGCTGCACATTTTCACATACTTGTCACCCACTTCTCACTCTCTTATTTCTTCCTTTGGAAAGTGCCCCTGCTTGCAAGCTACGTCTACCAGCAGATGGAGATCTAGGAAGAAAAGGGAATACTGAGTAAATATCAGTCCTTGTATGTGTCACTAAACAGCATACATAGCAATTGTAATCATCATTGTAATCAATATCAGGTAATATAGAAAATGATGATGTCTACTATATAATAATAATAGAAATATTATTGTAATATATGTAATATAGAAATTTGATGTCTACTGTTCAAGAATAGGAATTATTCAAATTTTGCAAAATTTTAAATGTAAGACCAAAAAAAAAAAAAAAAAAGCAAGTTATGCTCCTATTCTTCAAGGTATATTTCTGTATGCATTCACTGCCATGGGTACCAACTGCCAAAAGCTAATTACTGTAAAACCTCAGCAGTGTCTACAGAAATGGCCATTCAGCTTGTGATACATAACTTCATTTATGCAAAAACGCACAATATCCTCAAAGTATACCATAGCTGGTGCCAATATGCATTGTCATAGACAGGACAGGCAGACTTTTTTAAAAAAATACCTTGATCTAGAGCAAAATGGAGATAGTTGTAATGTATAACCAGACCAAAAAGTAAAATGTAGCATCTTGCAGGTCAAGGAAGTGAACAAGTACCCTGATAGAGTCACAACAGTAGTACTACCACTGCAAATATCACCTCTGTGAACTTCAAACCCTTGACAGAAACATTCACATCTTAGAACAAGGGCTGGCATCCTTTTCCTTTTTCCATACTGCAAAATACCTGCTGAAAAGACAGCAGTTCTGCACTTTCTGACATAGACCTCCTGCCAAAGCAGACTGTTGGGAATAAATCTAGAAAAGGCATTGGGATGGAGAAATGAGGAGGCTAGTAACAATGCAACTCTCAGTTGTGTAAATACAAGAGATAGCATCTAACATCCACTCATACAAAACAGCAGACTGCCAGGACACCTGAGAGTCCTTCACTGAATGGATAATTAAATAAAGGTAACAGCAACTGAGCTAGAGAAAGAACCTGCAGCTCAAACTTTTGAGAGCAATTTCACTTTGGGTTTCCAATACAGGACACATTGAGAGTCATGGGCCAAGCCTGTCTCTGCACTAACCCTTAACACTTTTTTAGAGGATTTCACCATGTACTACTAGGAATGTTATCTGAACAGTAAAGTGTTTTTTGTCTGGAAGGTGCAACAAATAATTCAAATGAACATTCACACATACAATTGCATGGAAAACCTTGCCTGAATGAAGATTTGACCTTAGCAATTGCATCAATAAATCTAAATAACCTTGCAGTGAATGAGAAGGAATGCATAATGACACAACTGTAGTGGCAAGGGACTGGGTGATAAATGTCTAGGGTACCTTGCAGCATAATGACAGATTCATCTGAGCCAGTGGCATCTCAGTATTATGGCTGTATTCCTGTTGCAAAAAAAAATAATAAAATAAAATAAAATAAAATAAAATAAAATAAAAATAAAAGGAAGTTGCCAGATTATTTGAAGAAAAGGATCAGATGACTGTCAAAAACAAACAAACAAACAAACAAACAAACAAAAAACAGCCACTGAGGAAGAAAGCTTTTTCCTTAATGTATCAGAATGCTTAAATCCAGAAGGATCAAATTCTACCTGTGCCATTCTGAGATCTCTCCTGTTGGAATCTGGTCCTTCTTATGTACTGTCTTAGAAGAGAAAACACAAAACACAGATACTAGCTCCAGTATAGCTATATTCACTAGATGAGCATACCAGTGGAATACAATGCACAGGAGATGGGGAAGGACACAAGAAGAATTTACAGAGTTCCTAGCCATCATTCATGAAGTCCAAAAGGACACCTGTTGCAGGTATGGATGCTGCTGACAAATTTATTCTAAAAAAAAAAAAATTATAGATGAGCTGAACTAGAAAGTAGTTGATAAAAAGATTAATCATCAGCACTTTCAAAACTACATCCTAAGAAAGATCCTGGAGCTGAAAGAGCTTGGGGCTGAAAACAGCAGTCTCTCAAAGGTGTGAGCTATCCTTCAGCTCAACATGATAAACAAACATGCC